TAGATCGCTGCAAGACACTTGTGTCAAGCTATGCTTCACGTTTAAAAGCTGTTATAACTGTAAAAGGATGCTGTACTAAGTACTAAGATTGAATGTCACTTGGGGGTGAATAAAACTGATAATGCTGTGAGCACAGAAAAGACATTTGTGGTTATTTCATTATAACTGTTATGTTATATTTGTCTGACCTACAAGTGCCTCTTTAATGTAAATGTAAGCAAGATGACTGAATGATCAAAAGCAATGTCAAACTGGCCAAAACACTCAATTTCAGTGGGGGTTGAATAATTTTGGTCACAACTGTATACACCTGGAGGAAAAAGTTTGAAAGGAGTCAAAAGACCCCATAGTGGGAAGAGGGATAACACCATCCATCCGCCTCCAGGAAAAAGATCCCTAGGAAATGGTGGGACCCCCTGCGGGAAATAGGGAAAAACTCCATTCATCCATCCATCCATCTGGGATACAGGGATCTATCCATTTGTCCACCTCTGAGTCCAATTAAAGGGACACAAGCCTGTATGACCTCACTTAACGGTTTGGTGATATACGTCAGGTGAGAGCACAACTGGTAAAGGAGCACATTATTATTTGTTTTGTAATACACCATTAGAAGACACCATAGGATCACAGACTTTTCAAAGTTATGCATGCAGCACTAGCATGTTTGCAATATCATACCATGGCAATATATCAGAACTCAGTCAATTGATATAATTTGTTGCACTTTTTATCTAATTTATATTATTTATATATTTATATGTATACTTAAATGTACTGATAGTGGAGCGCCACACCACGGGTTTTGATTTAAAATAACAAACATGTTATTCTTACGTACTCTGTGCAATGGTATTGCTCAGAGCGGCCCCAATCCTCCTCTTTACCGACTCTCTGATGGCGATCTTGGCTCCTCCTCTTCTTGTGTCCCCATAGCAAGCCGTTTGCTATGGGGCACACAGTGTCTGCTTGCTCTCTAGTTGTGTGTCTATGGAGCCACACACACAGCAGGACTTAGCCCCGACACTTCCTCCTCACTGAACTTGATTGACAGCAGCAAGAGCCAATAGCTCCTGCTGTTGTTCGAGTCCCTGTGTGAAGAGAAAGAGAGGGGAGAAGAGATGCAGCCATGCACAGATCAGTTCACACAGGGAAGTGGGAGGGCAGAGAAAAAGAAAATGTTTTTTACTTATGCAAGGAATGAATTAAGGTAAAAAAAAAAAAACGTTTTTAGCTCTAGTATCACTTTCACCTCTTCACACCGCGCCGTACACAAATATGCGGCCTCTTGGCAGCTGGGCCTTGACGCCAGGCTTTACACAAAGCAAAGGCTCACTTTTGAACTTTTGCACTCTTTTCTTTCTTTTACTTTCTACCCTACATACGTGATTCCAGATATAATCTGTTAGAAGAAAGCTAACTTTTAATCCAAAAAAGAATGAGTAGTAATAAATCTGTTTTACTTTTCTATTTTTATTAAAATAAGTCATTGACAGCATCACTTTAGTTTGCATGCTGCCTGCTGATCTATTCAACCATGTTGATGCTAAGGATGCTTTTTTGATGTAACACATGCACAGAATCCTGTAATTACAGACATGATTTTCAGGCAAAAGAAGACAATATGAAACTTGTTATGAACTTCATCAGACTACAGAACAACTGTAAAAGGAATGCAGGAACAAGGAAGATGTCAAGGGTTACGTTCTCAGACTTGCTAGATTTGTCTGCATATAAAAGTGTGTCTATTCTTAGCTGTATTTCACCTTGAATTATAATTAATAACAATTTAATTTATAGGCATTGTACAAATTGAAGAATACATTTGTACAACGTGACCATAGTTAGTGGTATGTACAATAATCCAGTCACACATTTACAAACTGTTATGATACGATCTATTCAGTATACCTTGAGCACCATTTAACTAAATACTCATTGTTTGAAAAGAAAACAGTTAGTTTAGATATGCAGTTGGCATTAAGTTAAAGTGGTTTTAACCTCCCTAGCGGTCTGATTATGTCCATATTTCTTTGCTCAAAGCGGGGTACCTTTTTTTGCATGAAAATATGTCGTTTTTTTATTGAAGGCCTGTAATTTTTAGGAATAACTCACTGAAATCTGTCCGAACAAGAGTCTAGTAAACATCCCGGGTATGATAACATTTGAAACACGAAATCATAAATTATAATATAATAAATAATCATAAAAAATAATAATAAATTTAATTCAATAATATAATCAAACCAAAAACACTGAAATTTGAAATATAGCGCCAAGTTTGCACATGACTGAGCAAAGTCGCAAAATCGTTTTCAGTGTCTGATGACAAATTTCCCCACAAATCATTATCACTCAATTCTGCAAGTGGTTCTGACTTACTATCGCTGTTCTCTAGCCGGTCTAAAACCGCTTTTGACCTAAAGGGACGCTTTATGGACACCATGGACGTTTCTCAGTTTCAGGCAGAAAGAACAGTAAAAAAATGCAGGCAGGGCACAGGACAAAGCACTCGGGACAAAATGTATGTGAAATGTTTTGATACAGTAATGTTTTTACTATGTGATTTTAGTGTATTAGTGAATGTCACTTTTGAAATTTTTTTAATTTCCCGCTGGTTCCGTCCCCCGTATGTCCCGACGCTCGCAGGGAACGGAACCCGGAAGATGGATGCCGACATCGGCCGGAGGAAATGGCCGGGGACGCTGCAGGGGGGACATTGCGGGACATAAGGACAAAGGTAAGTGCTGGAGGGATCCCGGAGCAACGCTGCATGGGTAATCTCGAGTGTAGCTCGGGGTTACTGCTTTTGGTACTGAAAGTTTACTCCGAGCTACACTCGGGAATACCTCCAGGGAGGTTAAGCTGTTTTTTTTTTTTTTTTTTTTTAATAACAGGTGGACACTGCATATTAGCAAACTACATGCTTACCTGTCATAATGTGCACTTCAGCACTGCACTGTCACCAATCACATGGGTCCCGGACGCTTCCATCTTCTCCCAGTCTTTCTTCCAGGTTCCATCCATTCAAATGTCTGAATGGCCGGGACACATGGACATCACTCCTGTGTATGTACACAGTAGTCACATCACCACAGCACAGAGTGGGAGCCAAAAAATGTACAATGAGTTGTGCATGTGCGGCTCTGTGTACATGATAGCTGACAAACAGGGGGATGCATCAATGACAGAAGTCACCAATAGAATCTCTTCTGTCATAAAGACTCTACCTGTCAACAATTTAAAAAAAAATTAGTTCAATACCTGGCTAGGCTATGGACATCCTAGTATTTACATATTCTTTTGTAGTGCCTACCCCCAAAGGAGCCACTTGACGAGTCAGGTTCTCTTGTGCCACAACCCTGCTCACAACTCTGTATTCTCCGATACACCTAGCTGGGCTGAGGATATAGATGCAGACACCTGTTTGTAAAAATACCCCCAAACACAGCAACTGCAGATCATGAGACCAGAAAATGACACAGACCCACAATTATATTAGCCAACTATATTGTGATTAGTATAAATAAGGAGAGATCATACAATACAGAAAAAAAAATATATATATACTGTATATAATATAATTATTATTATTATTATTATACAATATTTATATAGCGCTAAAAGGTTTGCTCAGCGCTGTACATTATAGTGGGGGACAGAACATGAGACAATACAGTAACAAAACAAAACATGAGGGGGTCAAGGGCCCTGCTCTTTCGAGCTTACAATCTAGGAGATATCTAGTGTGTGTATTCATATATATATATATATATATATATATATATATATACACACACACATACACACAAACACATACACAGAAGGAGTGGTTAGCCACCATCAGGTTATAGCAGAACCAGGGGCGGATTAAAACTCATGGGGCCCCCAGGCAATAGGGGATCATGGGGCCCCTGTGTCCTTGCCCAAACTCAAAAAAGCCTATGAAAAAGGTACCAGGGGCATCTCATGGGGCCCCCTACTGACCCCAGGCCCTCGGGCAGTGCCCGTGGTTTCCAAATGGTCAGTCCGCCCTGAGCAGAACAGTTACCAAACAAACATCAGCAAAGGTAATATTGTAGTAATTAACTGATATAATTAGCAGGCTGCAATTAATGAACACTGAATAATTCATCTCTTTCTTGGACCTACACAGGATACTCTAATTAAGGTGGGTGGAGAGGACCTATACAGTAGGAGTCAGCAGTCGGTAGTCCGTATGTACTAAACCTGCTACTAGTCAGCATATTGGGTTCTAAAACCTTGTGTGGGAGCACTCTGGGTATTAATATTTAAGAGCTGGTGCATGCAAAATTAAAGGATAAGTTCACCTTTTTACAGAAAAAAAATAAATGCACTTTTTTTGTAGGTAAAAAAAAAGTGCATTTATTATTTTTAGTTTCTGGAACCTGTAAAGCATTGCTGATGATCACTGGTGCCATGCAGGTCTCCTGCAGACCTGTCAGTATATTTGCTTGCCCATACAGTATATACGAGCATGCAGCCATACTGACAGGTAAAATCAATGAACTACCACGGTGCTCCACAGCGCTGTGGTAGTTCATTGAGACCTAGAAGCTGACAGCCACTAAGGCGCTGTTTTTTTTAAACTGTGACAGCTAGTGGGGAGGAGAAGATCCCCCCCCCCCCCCCGCTAGCTGTCACAATGGGGATTGGGGAGGAGCAAGGGAGTAACATGTTACACCCTGAATATTTCAGCCCCACATCCAATCACTGTTTAAATCCTGCCACCTTAACTAGTTGCCGACCGCAGATAGCCGAATGACGGCTAAACTGCGGCCGGCCAGTTCTGAGTGGACGTCATATGACGTCCTCCCAGAACGCGCTCTCCTGCGCGCCCCAGGGGGCGCGCACCCGGCGATCTCTGTGATCGCTGTGTCCTACGGACACAGCTGATCACGTGATGTGGTAAAAGGCCAATCATACCGGCCTTTTACCACGTGATCAGCGGTGTCCAATGACATGCTGATCACAGGGAAATGCAAGTGCCGGTTCTCGGCTGCACTTTACTCACGCTGTCAGATCGTGAGGAAAGTACTGCCGAGAACCGGCAGTTGTCAGAGCGGGGATCGGCACCGATCATCAGGGCACTTATGATCAGTGCCCTGATGATCGGTGCCCAGCAATGCCACCCGCAAGTTCCGCCCACCTGTGCCCAGCAGTGCGCCCCACTAGCTCCGCCCACCTGTGCCCAGCAGATCACCCACCTGTGCCCAGCAGTGCACCCACCTGTGCCCAGCAGTGCACCCACCTGTGCCACTCTGCAGTGTCACACACCTGTGCCCAGAAGTGCCACCTACCTGTGCCCAGCAGTGCCACCCACCTGTGCCCACCCACCTGTGCCCACCAGTGCCACCCACCTGTGCCCACCCACCAGTGCCACCCACCAGTGCAGCCCAGCAGTGCTGCCAGTCAGTGCCACCAGTCAGTGCCCAGGGGTTGTGCCAGTCAGTGCCGCCAGTCAGTGCCCAGCAGTGATGCCAGTCAGTGCCGTCTATCAGTACCCATCATCAGTGTCACCTATCAGTGCCGCCTATCAGTGCTGCATATTTAGTGCCGCCTATCCGTGACACCTCATTAGTGCTGTCTATCAGTGCCGCCTATCCGTGCCACCTCATTAGTACTGCCTATCAGTGCCCTTTAGTGCTGCCTATCAGTGCCCATCAGTGCCGCCTATCAGTGCCCACCAGTGCTGCCTCATCAACGCACATCAGTGAAGGAGAAAAAATGCCTGTTTGAAAAATTTTATAATAGAAACAAAGAAACTTTTTTTTTTTCAAATTTTTTGCACTTTTTTATTTATAGCGCAAAAAGTAAAGCGCCCAGTGGCGATTAAATACCACCAAAAGAAAGCTCTATTTGTGAGAAAAAAATGATCAAAATTTCATATGGGTACAATGTTGCATGACCGCGCAATTGTCAATCAAAGTGCGGCAGTGCTGAAAGCTGAAAATTGGCCTGGTAAATAAGGGGGTATAAGCGCCTGGTAGGCAACTGGTTAAATACCATAACATCTCCAAAATATGACCCTTTTTAATGTCACCACAAAGCTACGAATAAATCGAGGTCCAGATGCTACAGGGGAGATATTGAACAGCGAGCAAAGCAGCTCATGTGGGGAAGGCTGGGAGCTAGCTGTAGTTGGAGAGATGGTCACCAGAGGAGGGATTGACAGTCTGGCAGGTGTCGCCACAAGAAGAGGAAGGAGAGAAAATAGAAGAGAAAGAGTGAGGGGTGGGAGAAGAAGAAAGGCCCTGCAACTCTGCAGCAACCATCCAGGTACATTGATTGTATCATAAAGATGAAGTTAGTATATCCCATAGAGGGTTCTTTAAGAGGTATTGCTCAGCATTCTGGCATAGTCTGCAGTAAGTTAAAAATAAATCCAGCAGTACCAGGTCTTTGTGAATGGCAATAAGTTCCTCCATCTCAGCTATTTTTAAGAGTCTTCAGAACCAATCTTGGACCATAGGGGGCTGAGAGGAGCCCCAGAGTAATGGGAACTTGGTCACAATCACCATTGTATAGTGCCTTAAAAAAGTATTCATACCCCTTAAAATATTCCACATTTTGTCATGATACAGCCAAAAACGTAAATGTATTTTATTGGGACTTTATATGCTAGACCAACATAAAGTGACACGTAATTGTGAAGTGGAAGGAAAATGATAAATGGTTTTCAAAATTTTTTACAAATACATATCTGAAAAGTGTGGCATGCATTTCTATTCAGCCCCTTTTACTCTGATACCCCTAACTAAAATCTAGTGGAACCAATTGGCTTCAGAAGTCACCTAATTAGTAAATAAAGTCCACCTGTGTGTAATTTAATCTCAATAAAAATACAGCTGTACTGTGAAGCCCTCAGAGGTTTGTTAGAGAACATTAGTGAGCAAACAGCATCAAGAAAGCCAAGGAACACACCAGACAGGTCAGGGATAAAGCTGTGGAGAAGTTTAAAGCATAGTTAGGTTATAAAAAAAATATCCCAAACACTGTCCAATCCATCATCCGAAAATGGAAAGAGCACAAGTGCAAATTTACCAAACCTGTTAGAGTCTGCAAAAGACTTGAGACTGGGGAGGAGGTTCACCTCCCAGCAGGACAACGACTCTAAACATACAGCCAGAGCTACAATTCAATGGTTTAGATCAAAGCATATTCATGTGTTAGAATGGCCCAGTCAAAATCCAGACCTAAATCCAATTGAGAATCTGTGGCAAGACTTGAAAATTACTGTTCACAGACACTCTTCATCCAGTCTGACAGAGCTTGAGCTATTTTGCAAAATTCACTCTCTATTTGTGCAAATCTTACCCAAAACAACTTGGAGCTGTAATTGCAGCAAAAGGTGGTTCTATAAAGTATTGACTCAGGGGTGCTGAATACAAATGTACGCCACACGTTTCACATATTTATTTGTAAAACATTTTGAAAACCAGTTATCATTTTCCTTCCACTTCACAATTATGTGCCACTTTGTGTTGGTCTATCACATAAAATCCCAATAAAATACATTTACGTTTTTGGTTGTAACATGACAAAACATGGAAAATTTCAAGGGGTAGGAATAGTTTTTCAAAGCACTGTAGCAGAGGGCAGAAATATTTTGTGTGTGTGTGTTTTGTTGAAAACAACAGTGTGTAAAGTTCCTGTGCCCTGCCGGGGGTAGGAGATCTCCACAGCACCATAGACAGCAAGGTGTCCTGTAGCTGGAAAAGGCAGACATGCTGGCGCCAGGTGCTTGGCTGAATTTAGAGAACGATATAATATCCCTATGCTGGCAGAAAGGGTCAGCCTTTTTCTGAGTTTACTCCTGTGATAGACACATAGGGGTTTATTTACTAAAGCTGGAGAGTCCAAAATCAGACTCCCTTCTGCCTAGAAACCAATCAGCTTCTAACCTCAGCTTGTTCAATGAAGCTTTGGCAACCTGGAAGCTGATTGGTTTCTATGCAGAAGGGAGTCTGATTTTGGACTCTCCAGCTTTAGTAAATAAACCCCATAGGAGCTGATGGCTGCAAGTCTTCCTAGAAGGTGGTTTGAAGATACACAGAACTGTTGAGACATCTAGATCTGTATGGCTTTGGCTTCACTTTCTGAATTGCTGGGACTTGTAGTTCCATATTGTGTATGCATCGTCCTGGACACTGGGACTCTGACCCCTTCTCACTGCTCTTCCTGCAACTGCTGTCTGTGTGGTCCAGATGCTGCGGCCAGGACACACAGCCCTCTAAGGACACGTGATGAACCTATGAAGGACCTCTGCCCACCAGATCTCCTTTCCCCTGCCATGTTGACTGGACTTTCTCATTTTCATCCTCCTTGATTGGTGAGTCCCTGAACTTGTTCTTTTTCTATTGCTGCTCGTCCCTCGTGCCTGGATTGTGGTCCTGGACTCTGGACTAACTGCCTGCTGTATCCAATTGCTGCCCTTGATGTGCCTTACTCTGCTGCCTGGAACCCTGCCCTGTGTGTAGCACCCTCTTAGCTTAGCTAGGGGGAGCTAGAGTCTTGATTGCCAGTAAGGAAGGCTGATAGGTGTAATAGCCAGAATTTCAAATCTAGGTCAGGACCTGAGAGGCTCTGCAGGCCAGCACCTCTGGAATTTCCCCCTGCTCTAGGGCTTTTGGACGGTGGCTCTAGAGGCAGTGGTTGGATCTGAGGAGTGGCTGCCAGCACTCTTGAGGGGTCCTATCCAACAGGAGGTTGCCAACAGGAGGTTGGCAAGGGGCTGGACACCCTTAAAAGTGTTAGAGCCTGCTCAGTTGCAGGAGAATGGAGGGAGAGTTTGGGTGGAAGACAGAGAGGAAGATGTGAGGCTGAAGAAAGGAGGCTGTGAGGAGGCCCAGTGGGATGAGGCCTACCTACAGGCCTGGAGCTGAAATGGAGGTAAGTTCAGAGCTCACCTGCCCCCTGAGAGAGGACCACCTGTATGACAGGGAAGGAGCGGCCCAGCTGATAGGCCTGGTAGCAGCCACCAACCCATAAGCAGTACAGGAGAGGATCTGAGTGAGTACACCTACACCCCCCTGGGCGGATAGGGAAAGGAGCACTCTGGTCTGGTGGAAAACCAGATTAACCACCTACCAGTGACTGTTCATCTCTTGAAGTGACAGGAACTAGTTCCCCTGTTCGGGATACCTCTAGATTGCTGGGTGAAGAGAAGTTCATTTAGGGTCTGGGGTGGTACACTAAGGAGAACCTGGCTAGATCTCTTACAAAGATTGTGCTGCAGAGAAGGGTTGTAAATAGTTCCAGGAAGTTGTCCTCGGTTTATCAGTATCCTTGGGCATCCTGTACACCCCTAACCCTATCCCAGTTAATTTCTTCTAAATAAAACAACAAAGCCAAAGCTCAAGGACAGATTTCTGACTCTGAATGCAAGCTTTTGTGAAGATGTGGGATGTCTGGCTGTGGGGGACCCAGATCTTCTAGCGACTCCTAAGGGGGTAGTGCTACATGTGCTTGACTCAACCCACTTGTCTGCCTAAATCCCTGCCCTGGACTCAATCCCTTGTCTGCACAGATCTCTGCCCTGTGCTGGACTCAAGCCTTTGTCTGCCCATATCCCTGTCCTGTGCTGGACTCCATCCCTTGTTTGCTGTCCCATTTTGTCATCCTGTGGAAAATTCTACCTCGCTGTGCTTTTTGTTTTCCCTGTGGACTATCTTCCCTTTGCTGGCCCAAATTGATATTCTGAGGATCACTCTTCAATACTGTAATATAAACAAAGATCCTCCTGCGCAAAAGGGAAATAGCCCTACTGTAAGCTGCCAACACTTAATCTGTTACCCAAACAGTGAGAATACCAAAATTACATAAATAGTGCAGCGCTCAAAAACTAACCTATATACACAAATAACTGTGCTCACATGCAATGGTGACACATATATAGTGAAATAACCTAAATAACAAGTGCCACTTAATGATGATCTAAGGTGTCCACATAATCATAAAAATATATGAAAAACGCATATATATAAACAACGTGTAAGAGCGCATAAATATCAAACGCATAAATATGAAAAACACATATATAAATGTGAAAAACACATATATAGAAAAAATCTTAACTAAAAGATAATTTTTTAAATAATTTATAAAGTGCTCCAAGTGTGGTGATATAACCACATTCAATCAAATTTATCCTCAAAAAATCAAACAAAAAAATTGGTGGTCTTCTGACTCACAGTCTGTCTGTGCATCACTCTGATGATTTGGATGGTGAGTAATTATCCTATAGAAGCTTCTAAGTGGGGGTAATGGAAATACCCTCAAAGTGATCCAGGACGGCAGGAGAAGGGCTGATCTCCAGGAGATAAGGATCCAGAGAGATCCTGAATGCTGTGTGGCCCTTAGGGGTCGACGTAAGGAGGTGAGGAGGCAATTTAGCCGTAGGAGGGGAAGAATTGCA